TCTATCTCTATTCCTCTTCTCCGACAAGTTCTGACCATAACTCTGGCGACCCACTAAAGGTATTTTGCTCTCTCTCTCTTAGTCTATTTTTCATTAATATCCTATGTCTTTCTCTCTAGTTCTGACCATAGCGTTATATTCAATTAGAAATGTGCATATCTGGGAATTAGGGCAATTAGAGATCTTCAATTAGAGATGGTTAGAGATTGTAATGTTGATCTGAAATTTTTGTGGGTTTAGCAAAATCAATTCTTTTAGTGGTCAAGGCTAATCGAAAAAATTGCACACAGGAGATTAGTGGGGAATATACATAGGATTAGTGGGGAAAAGCACAATTCCAGTTGAAGAAGGAAAGTTTGGAAGGTTTGTGGCCTACTTGGANACAGAACACTCTTTCGATAAAGATCACTCCTCTGACAAAAACCATTTTGGAGCAGGCGACTAACTCTAACGAAGACCACTACTCTGACAAAGATAACTTCGGTGCATGCATAATCAGATCACCAAAGGAGAGAGCAAATCTCACCAGCTACACTCCTCAAATCTGTGTGTGTCTCTCTCTCTATCTCTATTCCTCTTCTCCGACAAGTTCTGACCATAACTCTGGCGACCCACTAAAGGTATTTTGCTCTCTCTCTCTTAGTCTATTTTTCATTAATATCCTATGTCTTTCTCTCTAGTTCTGACCATAGCGTTATATTCAATTAGAAATGTGCATATCTGGGAATTAGGGCAATTAGAGATCTTCAATTAGAGATGGTTAGAGATTGTAATGTTGATCTGAAATTTTTGTGGGTTTAGCAAAATCAATTCTTTTAGTGGTCAAGGCTAATCGAAAAAATTGCACACAGGAGATTAGTGGGGAATATACATAGGATTAGTGGGGAAAAGCACAATTCCAGTTGAAGAAGGAAAGTTTGGAAGGTTTGTGGCCTACTTGGAAAAAGAATTACAAGGCTTTATTGGGAACAGACTTAGAAGCACATACATATCATAAAAATAAAAAAATAAAAAAAATTATACATGTCTTATTTTGAATGATGGAAATAATCAAATATGATATTAAAAAATAATTTTTCGATACCATAATTAGACCCATCTTATATAACTAGCATGCTACTTTTTATAAGCTAGAGGTGAGGATTTGGAGGAATATAATGGTGGAACAAGTAACTAGCTGCCAATTTCAACAAAAATTAGGACTGATAATGGTTTGTATTATTCGAGTAGAAGTTGTATCATATTAAAATTTATTTAACTCTATCATATCAACCCTTTAACAGTCACATATAATTTGGTCCATGTGGTGCATACATCATGTTTAATAAAGTTCATGTTATGTGTAGCCAGATTCATCTCAATCCATTTGTTAAAGGAGTTTAACAAGACTACTTATTTACTGCTTGAATTCACTAAATTAACTGTAAACTCGCTTACTCTATATCGATTGTGTGCTTGTAAGTCGTGTCTAGAATTGTTATCCAAATTAAATCACTTGCCACATTATTCACGTCTATCTCCCCTTATCTCTATGTCTCTCTCTGTATCTCTCTTTGGGTAGCTCAAGTCTCTCTCCCCTGATCTCTAGTCTCTCTCTCTCTATATCATGTCTCTCTCTGTAGNGTTGGGTAGTTCAAGTCTCTCTCCCCTGATCTCTAGTCTCTCTCTCTCTATCATGTCTCGCTCTGTAGGTAGTTCAAGTTTCTCTGTCCCCCTTATCTCTCACTCCCTTTGTATCTCNTTTGGGTAGCTCAAGTCTCTCTCCCCTGATCTCTAGTCTCTCTCTCTCTATATCATGTCTCTCTCTGTAGGTAGTTCAAGTTTCTCTGTCCCCCTTATCTCTCACTCCCTTTGTATCTCTATCTCTCTCTGGGTAGTTCAAGTCTATCTCTCCCATTATCTCTCATCTTCGTCTCTCTCTTTGTATCTCTCTCTCTCTCTGGGTAGTTTAAGTCTCTCTCTCCCCTTATCTCTCTATCTATATCTTTATCTCTCTCTAGGTTGTTAAAGTCTCTCTCTCCCCTTATCTCTCGGTCTCTCTCCAGGTAGTTAAAGTCTCTGTCTCACCTTATCTCTCTCTTTGGGTAGTTAAAGTCTCTCTCTCTCCCCTTATCTCCATCTCTCTCTAGGTAGTTTATTGGGCTAATAATATTATTAATAAACCTAAGGATGCAGGGTACGATATTGGTCTTAAGCGTGTAATAAAAGTAGCTCATGACATAATCACCGAACATGTCCAGCAAAAAACCAATCAATTTTGGCAATGGGTCATCCACTCTAAATATGTTGTGTCTATGTTTATGTTTAACTTTCACTTATTGTTTTATGAAATGTATAAAGTTATTTTGAAACTTTGTACTTTGTGTTGTTATTTATGTATTAACGATGTATTTTGTTGTGTATAGGTTGTACTATTAATTATTTCAGAAGGATTATTGATTCATCTGTTAAATATTATTATTAAAACTTGTTTCATAATTGATGTATTAATGGTGTTTTGTTATTTATGTATTAATGATTTTATGTTGTTATTTTTTTTGTTAATGTAGGTTGTGAAAATGGATTGTGATCCGCGAGCGTTAGTACATCTAGATCCTGATGACCCATCCATACTATCATTACAGTATGAGCATCACACGACTACTATTTGGGAGGGTGTTGATTTCCAACAATTACATTGTAGACGATCTGATGCCCTACTTCATCGAGTTACCATCACTAACCCCCAGGTTATTTAGCATCTACGCACAGTTGGATTTTCTGGGGCCTATCGACTTAGGTATATCCAGCTAGATTGACATCTTATCACTACACTTGTTGAGCAATGGCACATTGAGACACACACATTTCATCTATCAGTTGGTGAGGCCATGATCACACTTCAAAACACAATTGTATTACTCAGCCTTCTAGTTGATGGGAGTCTTATATATGGCATGGATACCATTTGTGATGTACAGCAGTGGAGTCTCATGAGCACTAAGTTGCTCGGGTTCACACCAGAAGAGGGAGTCATAGATAAGTCCACAATAAGGCTTAGTGCACTGTCCGAGCATTTGGGGCATGCAATCCTACCTAATGTGACCAATCAGTTCGTTGCATATTACGCCTGAGCATACATGTTATTGTTGATTGGCGAGTTTTTGTTCGGGGATAAGTCGTCAAGTAAGGTTAAGCTGATGTTCTTACCATTACTTGCGGACCTTGATGCTACTAGGACTTATACTTGAGGCAATGCAACCCTATCATGGTTTTATCGAGAAATGTGTCTTACTACCAAGCGAGATGCGAATGACATTAGTGATCCACTTATTCTAATTCAGCTTATTGCTTGCATTTTAGTATATGCTTACATATTTTCTTGTTATTGAATTTACAAACATTATATTATGTATGTAGTTGTGGGCATGTGAATATTTGTCACACATTGTTCCATAGTGTGTGCTCCCATGAGAGTAGACAGCCTATGGTGCAGCTGCATTACATGGCCATAAGGATGTTCCGCCTACACATGATGGTGTTGATACAATAGGAGATGTCGAAGCTGGAGCCGATGTAGATGTCAGTGATGTAGTACATGATGGTCACTTTGGTTGTAGGTGAGTTATTACAATCAAACATTAAATGGACATTCTATCTATTATTATTGCTATCGTTGTTTTATATTTTGTTCAACTTTACAGATGGGATGTCACATTTTCGAAGCAGTACACTCTAACCTATGTATTGCGTCATTATCGAGACCAGCTTAACCAGATGAGAGACAATCAGATATATCATCTTAAATATAAAAACATAACCCATGTTTTATGCCATTGCTACTTACTTGGATGTTGTGTTAAATACTATGTATGTTGGGATGATCGTTTGTTATGAGTATGCATTGTTGATGTTTGTTGGGATGCTTGTGTATATCAAAGAATGGTTTTAAACTTTGTCGATGTGGTGGAATGATTATTTGTTGTGAGTAGGCATTGAATTAGGAGTGTTATATAAAAGTTGAAAGTTTTGGAAAGTTCCAATTTATAGGGAAAATTTTGTCCAATTTTTTAAAAAATACTTATAAATTTATTAAATTGTGTCCGCGTTTGTGTTGCAGATGATGTGGAATTCGTATACTATTGAGATAATGAGTCGACTACCAGTTTATGGCCTTGTTGGGCAAGATATTTGGCGCACACGCTATCGTTGAGTGGCATTTTCTAAGTTGTATCATAGAGTGTCCCCATTGATTTCGTGCAACGCATACCAAAGGCTTGTGATTCTAATAGGGCCCTACATGCTATCAACCGTCACGGGAGATCAAGTCGGGATTGGAGGAATTTTCATCATGTGTGCATAGACACATGGGCCCATCGTCAAATATTATTGTCATAGAAGACGTCGTTATTGCACCGATGGATCGCACTGATGTATACATTGTATGGTATCGAGGCATCACTTGTTGACTTGTCGATCTACCAATTACTAGGCCCATTGTTGGTTTTCAGCCTGTACGGAGCGTCATAGAACTTCTAATAAGATGTTCTTAAATGATTTACTATTATATTGTGTAATGGTCATAAAGTGTGGTAATGTTTACTACAATAAATATTTTTTGTAATTTTTTGTAGGAAGAGACTCTCACAAGGATATATCACACTTCATGTATTACATATGAGGGTAGCCCAGATTTGACAGTTTGTATGGAGACTATTGGGCATATCACAGATATGAACTTCTCTTGTTTAGCATATCACGACTTGTCGACTGTCCAATCACAACAGCTAACGTTGCTTCTACACCTTCTGAGCTACCACCTTCTGGTGTTTGTACTACTACTACTTCTTCACCACCATCATCCATAGTTTTACTTCCATTATCTATACGACCACCACCTCTGTCACCAACATAGGCACCAACATTGACATTATCACCAACATTGACACCAACACCAACACAAACACCGACACCGACACCGACACTGACACTAGTGCCGACATCCACACTAGCACAGTTACCGACGTCGACACCTCCATCAGCACTTGTTTTTGTAGCTTGTCCTTCCATATTATTATCATTAACACCACCACGTATAGCAGACATCGCACCGTCACCAGTCATCTCAGCAATACTGACTCCTATCGTTGTAGTGACACCTTTTCCTACAACTGTAGATATTTTGTTTTGCACTCCTCTAGCTACACCGACATCATTGCATTCTGCATCGCCACCTATACTGTCAGCAATTGTGACATCAGCACGAACAACCCAGACGATCGAGCATCCTTTAGCAGATCCTATGTTAGATGGGGCAACATTGACACAGGATGCTACATTTGAAAGGTCATGCGAGAGTCGGACCGAGAGTTCGAGGCGAACGACAGGGTCGGGGACGGCCTCGAGGACATCATGCACCTCATGGCAATGATGTCGATGTGTTAAAGGTGACACACGATAGACCATAGGAGACTAAGCATTAGCTTTGGCGATAGCTGAAGCAATGTAGGCGACCACCTCTATGTGGCACTTAGTTTTGATGTATTTTTTTATAGAACTGTACATAGTTTTACTTTTGTAAGTGATTGCATATAATTATTTTATGAATTTCAATTATAATTTTTAATCATATTTTCACATATAAAATCAATATTATTCTGTAATGAATACACATATGCCAATATTGTGTGAGTGTAGACTGGTGAACATTTTAGTAAACTATGTGCTGAAGTGACAACACACATTTGAAAAGGCTAAAGAGGGAAAGTTACTACTCATGTCTACTTAATGGTGAAAGCACCTAGATGAGTATGAGTGTAGACTGGTGATCATTTTAGCAAATCATGTGCCAAAGTGTTGAAACCCTAAGTCTTCATGGACACAAATGCATACAGGACATAGGCTTCACAGTCGTGCAGTGACTACATGCATTTGTTAAGGCTGAAGAGTGAAAAGAACTTAGACGAGTATGATGCCAGACNTTACCGACGTCGACACCTCCATCAGCACTTGTTTTTGTAGCTTGTCCTTCCATATTATTATCATTAACACCACCACGTATAGCAGACATCGCACCGTCACCAGTCATCTCAGCAATACTGACTCCTATCGTTGTAGTGACACCTTTTCCTACAACTGTAGATATTTTGTTTTGCACTCCTCTAGCTACACCGACATCATTGCATTCTGCATCGCCACCTATACTGTCAGAAATTGTGACATCAGCACGAACAACCCAGACGATCGAGCATCCTTTAGCAGATCCTATGTTAGATGGGGCAACGTTGACACAGGATGCTACATTTGAAAGGTCATGCGAGAGTCAGACCGAGAGTTCGAGGCGAACGACAGGGTCGGGGACGGCCTCGAGGACATCATGCACCTCATGGCAATGATGTCGATGTGTTAAAGGTGACACACGATAGACCATAGGAGACTAAGCATTAGCTTTGGCGATAGCTGAAGCAATGTAGGCGACCACCTCTATGTGGCACTTAGTTTTGATGTATTTTTTTATAGAACTGTACATAGTTTTACTTTTGTAAGTGATTGCATATAATTATTTTATGAATTTCAATTATAATTTTTAATCATATTTTCACATATAAAATCAATATTATTCTGTAATGAATACACATATGCCAATATTGTGTGAGTGTAGACTGGTGAACATTTTAGTAAACTATGTGCTGAAGTGACAACACACATTTGAAAAGGCTAAAGAGGGAAAGTTACTACTCATGTCTACTTAATGGTGAAAGCACCTAGATGAGTATGAGTGTAGACTGGTGATCATTTTAGCAAATCATGTGCCAAAGTGTTGAAACCCTAAGTCTTCATGGACACAAATGCATACAGGACATAGGCTTCACAGTCGTGCAGTGACCACATGCATTTGTTAAGGCTGAAGAGTGAAAAGAACTTAGACGAGTATGATGCCAGACTACACACTAATGGCCTCACATGACTATACAATCCTTATATGACCTTGTCAAACAATCTATTGGCCAACACTTCAAAAAACTTTTCTATAACCCATGTGCTAAAATGAGCAACCCCTGATATTTTACGATCAGGGTTTGGAGACTACTATTTAAACAGCTTTATTCCTAGTTAATATGACAAACATTGAAAATTATGTTTACATCAAATTTCTCTACAGTATATAACAATCGCAGACGTGAACAGATTTGATTGTTACAAGAGTGAAACGATGATTACAAGAGTGAGATATTTTCTGATCCAAAAGAGTAATATGCAAGAATACGACGAAAATGAACGTTTTGTGCTAATAAATCAGACACATTATGAACACAACTAAGAGAACTTGGTAAACCAATGCCACATAGATGATCACTAACAATGCAACGAATGAATAAATAGGACTATGAATCAGCAGTAAAACATGTTCAAAGAGAGAATAATAAAATGTTAGTGCGTAGGTGTCGCTACTATATGCTCCAACTAGCAAAAGACATGATGGAAACTACATATAGACGAAAGTTGATACCACTTGAGCAAAATATTGTATTGTCAGGTCATGTTAGTCCTTTGTCAGTGTCATTATTATTATGTCATTACTTTATTAATGCTAAGTCATAACATTGTTTTATCAGTGTCAAGTCATGTCAGTGATACGTAATGTGATGTCATGTCAAATTTATATATAATTTCATTTCGGAGCTATATAAACCAACTTTTGTCATAACTATGTGCATCATATTCAATAAAATGTCTACGCACACATCAAATAGACAATCCAGTCAAACGAGCAAGAGTAGAGCCAGAATTTCTGTTTAAGATGGGCACTTTACTTAAAAAATTTAATTTTTTTCTCCTAATCAATAAAAATAAAATAATATATTCAAATGTACTATATTGTATTCGATACTTAAAAATTCATAAAATACAAAAGGGTCAAACATTGATAAATATAGCGTATGTAAATTTAAAAAAACAAAAACAAGAGACTAATTATACCCCTTTACAATAAATGAGACTAACTACATAAAAGATACTATAGTATTTCTCCATATATACGATCAAACTATTAGTCATTGATAATTCATTTAATTAAGCAATCTAGTTGCCATAATCTTTATAGTTTTTTTTTATTTTTTTGAATCGAAATCTCTATATCTTAAAAAAAATGAGTTGGGCATATCAAAAACTTATATGTGTATATATTTAAAGTGTTCAAAGTGTCTCCAAAAATTCATAATTATTTAGATATGGGGACCTACCAATTTATAAAATAAAAATGATAGAGTGGACACATTTAAATATATATAAGTAATATTTTTAGAAAAATAAATAAATTAAGAGTCAGCCTGTGCCCCTTGGTCCTCAAGTAGCTCCACCCCTTGCAAACTAGCCAAGGTTCTTTATCACCCAATGAACAACATAGTTCATCTTCACTCAACGAATGTCAACGCTCAACTGACCAAGCAACATTATCGAATATAGCTTATTTTATTGAATCCTACACAAATTCTAGTGATGTAACGTGTTATGGACAAAATCGTGAGTTCCGCAATGAGCCCATTGATCCTTAACACCCATTTAGTCAAGTTGGAACATAATTGTTAGTCCTGCAATCGACTATCTGCCTTCAGGTGTTCATATTGGACTCACACTAAGATAGCAACAGTTATATGATAAACATTGTGAACTTGAAGTATATTGTTGTTAGCAAAGATTAATGATATTAAAGGCACGTTCGACTCACATATATAATCCACAAAACTCAAACAACCATGAAGAGATCATAGCAAGGCTTGAATGTGAAAATGATCAAATGCAACGTCAACTTGATCGTTTACATGCAATCAAGTATACAAAAAATGAGCATTTCGATCCTAACTATATCAAGATTAAAATTTTAGAGGATCCATTATTTGTTTTCGATCATAAAATTTTTTATTATTCCGATTAGTGATGATGCGTCCAACACTTTTATTCCATCAAATTTTTGTGTTCTAGGTAACCCTTTATATTATTTTGAACATTATCCACATTATTGACAGACTGTATTTTTTACAGTCTCATATAATAACTTTATTTTGTTTAATGTATGTGCNATTTTTGTGTTCTAGGTAACCCTTTATATTATTTTGAACATTATCCACATTATTAACAGACTGTATTTTTTACAGTCTCATATAATAACTTTATTTTGTTTAATGTATGTGCATGGTACACTTTTATGTGTCAAATCTCATTATTAGATGAACTTATAACATTGTTTTGGAATAGATAATTTTTAAACCTATCGAATATTTCAAAGTCAGTCACAAAATTCTTTTATACATACTATATTTTATGCATTTTTCATATTGTAATGCAATAAATTAACTTCATAACTTATATTTTTTGTTATTTTCATGGTTTGAAAATTTTTGTACAAAACTTGGTTAATAATTTATTTTTTAATTAAAACAAAAAATTTTTAAAATTAAATATCAACATGATGAATACTTATCACAAAAAAACTTATAACAAATTAAATATTTAAAACATGATGAAGTCACAAATATCACCCCAAAAAAAAGATTAGTTTATAATAAAATTGTCATTTCAAATAACATTTTTATCTATAACCTAACAAACGATGTTAGTTAGCGTTTAACAAAAATAGTTATTTTTAAACGTCATTTTCACTGACGATTTAATGACGATTTGATGAGTGACTTTAATCAGATTCAAAAAAAAAATTCCCAGCTTCAAATCATTATTTTAAATGATAGTTTATATCATGAAAGTATCATTCTAAATTACATTTTCAAAAATAAATAAATTTAAAATTGATTGGCCTTAAAAAAACGAAACACAAATCAAGCACGTTTTTATTTTTATTTTATCTAAAAAATGAAAACAAAAACACAAAATACGAAATACGAAACAAAAACACCGATCAAACGACGCTGGAGACCACTCCATCTTCTTTCTCTCTCGGCTTTTCTACTGTCTCTCAGTCTCACGACACCGAAGCACCCTGACCAGCTGCGAAGGTCTCTCCCTACGGAGTCTCTCCATCTGCGAAGCTCCCCCCCCCTCTCTCTCTCCCTCCCTCCCTC